CCTCCTCCTCGTCCTCCTCCTCCTCCTCCTCCGGGAGGACAGGCCCTCAGGCCTGAGGGTGTTTGGGGACGAGGTGTCGGGTCAACCCCAATGGGGTGACACCCCACGGAGAAACCATGGAGGGATGCGGGACACACACAGGACGCTGGTTTTGGTCCACGACCGTTGCTACCATGAGCTCTGGGGGTTTGTCACTGTTGTCTGTTTATTTACTGCCCCTTTTCTATGTGTTTCTCTCCTGATTTTGGAAAAAATCAAAAACATAGAAAACAAGTTTTGCAAACCGCTATGTACCCATCATCCGACTTCAAAATTACCCCACATGCCCCCCACGCCCTGCTACCTCCACCATCGCTCTGTTTTGAAGAAATCCCGGACATTCTATCACTTCATTTATAAATACTTTAGTATTTCTTTCTAGAAAATAGACGCTTTTTAGGAATACCTACAAAGTCGTTATCATACATAAAAGAAGGAACATCAATCAGATCCAAGATCATAAACTTAATTTTTAAAGCTGATTAATTCAAATCAGGATGCAAACAATCACCAAGATTTTGTCTTGTCTACCTTATGCACTACAGAGGGACACAAAAGAGTTTTGATTACTTTTAAAAAAATAAATCAGGTTTTTTAAACACTGATCTAAAAAGTCACAAGGCACGTTCTCCGCCAACCGCAGCTCCTGAGGGACCGCCCCACAGGGAGTACTGGATATGGCCGTCCCAGCAAGCACCTGCCGGGGCGCAGGCAGGCAGAGCTCAGTGCACCTGCTGGGTTCAACTCTGGAAAGCCCCCAACGTTCGCTTGCACAATTACGCCACAGCTGTGAGTGGAAAGAATCGCTTTCCCACAATCTGGGCTTTAATGCTGGGAGGCTGCACCCAGAAAAAGAAAATAAATAAAAACTAGATATGTACCGCCTTTGAACATTTATTCCTAAAGTCAAAAAAAAAAAAATGTAGTATGACTATGGAATAAAGTCACACCAAGCTGACCCCAGGCAGGGACACACGGACGAGCTATGTACGGGGCTAGCCACTCACCTGGGTGGTCTGGCACGGCAGAGAGCGGCAGACGGTGCAGAAACCCCTGGAGCCTGCAAACGACAAAGCATGGGTCATTCTTGGTGCCCCCGTCCCCAGCCTGCAGCCCGCCAAGGAAGAAGGACACTGCCTGTCCTAGTTTAAGGTGGGAAGTCAAACGTGGTGACCGTGGGCTCATCCTAAGGCCAGGGAGGGTATCCGGCATGTCAGGGCATCTCGGCCTGGGGACTGCGGACCCCCAGCCACACTCTCCCAGAACAGCCTGCGGGACAGGATCCACAGTGGGATGGACCCACAGGGACGGAGCTGTCCCTGAACACAGGCGGCGCTCGACCAAGGTCACGGTTACCATTAACTTTACCGCTAGTATATACTTGAAAATAAAAGACTAATGACTGTGTCTATGGTTGAAGAAGCCCATCGAACAGGGAAAAGCTCCAGCTTGCTTTACAATTTCCACGACCCTTCTGTGTGTGTGTGTGTGTGTGTGTGTGTGTGTGTGTGTGTGTGTGTGTTAACGCGATACCCAAAGGCTGCATGTGTATGATTTCGGGAGACACGCCCAGCCACTGCGTGAGTACGAATCACTTCCCCATTCCAGCAGCGGGGGGAACCAAGCCTCAAGAGGGCTGTGAAGGATTTGCCCAAGACGGCAGAGGCGAGGAGACCCTTCCCACGACAGGGCGGCTCCTCTCTGGGGCCTGCCGCGTGCCCTGGCCCCGTTCTGCGGACCAGCCAGGGCACAACCCCCACAGAAGGGGGGTGATGCTGGGAACGTGCACGGCAGGACACCCAGATCCCCCAGCCCTTCCTCCTGCTTCCCGCCGATCCCGGGCCTGGGGAACCCTTCACAGGCTCGGACACCCCACTTCACCAGCACCTCACTGGGCACCCGGTTCATCCTGGCTCCTTCGGGAATGGAGACGGACATTCCCCAGAAGTCACACCAACACCGTGCCTAAGCCAACGACAAACCAGAAGCCTTGATCCGGGCCCCAGGGAGAGACAGGACCTGGAGGGCGCCCTCTTCCACGCACAGGATGCCTAGAGAGTTTGCCCGCTGGCTGTCCCTGGCGGACGCATGCCTCTCCTACGTGTCCCCTTACAGACGAGTCTGGGGGCTGACTGAGCCCGCTCCCTTCGTGCCTGGACCCCACGCGGCACAGGACAGCAGCCCCGGGGAGGTCAGGGAGGCTGGGCCCACTCTCCCCGAAGCAGCCCTGAGGGGTCCCAGCAGGCCCCCAAGAATCCCCGCCTGCATCCCTTGGCATGGATGGATGGCAGACGGATCCATGACAGACAGACAATAGGCTCATAGACGCATAGATATGTGCCGAACACACACATGCACACACACACACACACACACACAGCGAGAGGGGAATGCCAGGCCTGCCTACCCTCCCACGGCTTCTCACGCCTACCTGCAGCCACTGCACTGTGCCCTATGCCAATTTAGACCAAACGGATGTGCACAGACCGAGAACCACCAGACACGGTCCACGCACGTAAGTGTGTGGACAAAGCACAAATACCTTTCCAACCCCCCCATCACCCGAGGGGATGACGGGCCAGAACCACCACTCACCGCCCACACCCCCCAGCCCTCGGTGATAGCTGCAGCTCAGCGTGGAGGGGCTGGGGGTCCCCGCAGGGAGGGGATCACCTGAAGGGACTATGTCTTGGGCAGAGCACAGCCGGTGCCCGAACCCTGAAGTGGCATCATTCTGCACCTTGGGGACAGCGAGGGGACGGGCGTGGCCAACAGGTGGGTGCAGGGGAAGTGACGGGGGGTCCCAAGGACAGAGGTCAGCCAGCCCTGGACCCCGGTTCACCATTCCACCAGCATGGTGTCCTGTGAGGGCTGACTGAGGTCAGCAAGCACAGCCACACCTGCGGGGACACCTGGCTCCCAGCAGAACCCCAGGAAAGCAGACGGGACTGTCCTCGCTGCACAGCCTGGGAAACAGGCATTTGGGAAGACAGTGTTACAGCAACTTCTCACACCAAACTTGAGACTTTTTCAATCCCCCGGCCCTGGTGGCCCATAGCCCGTGCTGCCGAACCTGTGCCCGGGCCAGACCAACATCAAGGAGGTCGGGAGAGCTTCTCCTGGAGAGTTAGTCCAGTGGAGCAGCCAGGCTCTGAGACTCAAGGTGCACCACCATCCCCCAATGGGGGGAAACCTAGCCAAGCAGACAATGCACCAGTGACCGGGCCCCGGGGACGCTGGGATACACGGGGAGAGCAGGCCCTCAGCTGCCGGGAAGGTCCACCATGCAGCGGACAAGAGGCACGCCCACACCAACTGGACAGGGCACAACTTTCCCGCACACGGCGCTGGTCAGAGGGGGACACGGGGCTACCCTGTCTCTGTGCATCTTCACTCAAAAGCAAAGAATCTACCTGCTCTCGGGGTTCAAAAACCAGGTCCCCGTTTATACACCACAGCACAGTTCGTGGCTTAGGAATGACCCAGAAACCAACTTAGTAAAAGTTTACTGAAGAAGGTCCCTTGCTCACCAGAACCCTACACCCTAACCACGTTCGGGAAGTTTAAGAAAACCTCTCTTGCGTGAAGACCCCAGGCTTCCCAAGCTGCACGTTTCTCTTGTGTGCTTTGGCAAGAAAAGAGCGGCCCGCCCACCTCCCTCGGAAGCCTTCCAAGGACACGCCACTCTTTATGGACCGACACCACGTCTGGAGAGATAACAGGTGTTTCCTGTACTCCCGTCTGGTCCCCACCTGCCTCGGCCCAGCCCAGCCCCCTCCACCCGTGGCCGCTTTGGCGCGCGCTTATCGCAGCCTGCAACTTCTAAAGGCACCTCGAAACCCGAGGGCGAGGGGGGTGCCAGTGGAATCTGCAGCAAAGGTTACACCTGCAACAGGTAAACCGCAAAGCCCACGCTGCCGCATCTCCGAAACGGCCCAGGAGCCCCTCCGCTGGACCCCAAAGCAGTCCTGGGCCCCCGGTGAAGTCACTGGCCTCCCTGGCCATCTAGGGCCAGGCCCTGCGGTCCGGGACACACCAGCAAGCAGCAAAGCGGGCGTTCCACCAGGTAAGCAGTCATTCCATCGGCCCAGAGGGGCTGTCTTGCTCAACACACTTTTGCAATTATCGACCCTCATTTCTTTGGCTAATGATGTGAATTTTATATGAGAAACAGGCACAGGAATAGCAATTTTGCAGCCGTGGGACATCAACCCACACCATCTTTCGGGAGGGGACGGGGA